GGGTGGGAGAAGAGGTAGGGAGGGGATGGGATGGAGAAGGAGAAGAATTAAGTATGTAAAATAGAAGGGTGAATTAAGGAATTAGGAATGGTGAAAGTTAGGGAAAAGGAAGGTGAATAAGTAATTTGAAGGTTAAAGGAAAGAAAGAATGAGGGTGGAAGATGAAGTCCGGAATCTTAGTAATGGGGTGGTTTGCTTTTGTGATTTCATGAAGCGGGATTATAGGAAATAGAGATGGGAGAGGAATAGGGGAGAGATAGATGGGGGGGGAGAGAAGGAGGGGGATAGAGATAATGGAGAGATAGGGGGAGATCTAGGAGAGAGAGATGCGAGCGCATAGAGGTCGCTAGAGAGGGTAAAGAAGGAGAGAGAGGAGAAGAGGGTAGAGTGGGGTTGTTTAGGTTGTAGATTTTGGGAATAATATATCATGTGTTGCTGGGGGTAGTCTGGAAGGTTAAGGTGTGGGTGACACATCTAATGGGGTACTGTGTTGTGTTTTGTCCTATGATGAGGGGTGATGGTTTTGGGACTGGTATTTTTGTTTATTTTGGGGTTGTATGACGTGGATGTAAAAGGCATTAAGGGGTTAGATATCAGGGATGAAGAGTGTAAAAAGAATAGGGGGGGGGACGGGTGGATGCTTCTGCACGGATGGAGGTTTGTCAAGACATGGTGGACGATGGGAAACCGGGAAATGGTAGCGGGGTCGAAGTTGTGGGGAATGGGGGTGGCACAGACGTAACCTTAATAATCAGAGGTACAAGTATTGAAAATTTATTTGGGCTGGAAAGGTTTAGTTGTTGTTAGGGGGTTTATTCTTTGTTAGGAGATGGAAGGAAAGTAGAAGATGAGAGATAGTATGGAATATTGAGGCGAGATAGAGGGGATAAGGAGGTGAGAGGAGCATGGGGACGATGGTATATAGTTAGGGAAGAGAGAGGATAGAGCAGCATGACATGTATCTCTAGAGTATAGAGTTAGGGGCAAGATAGGAGAGCATTGGGTAATAGTTACTATTGGAGCGAGAGGGGGTAGAGAGGTAGCTATGTAGGGAGATATTGCTCGAGAGAAGACTTTTTGTTGAGGGAATGAATTTAAGGAGGGAAGGAAATTTCTATAAGGAAATTCTAATGCAGGATGATGGATATAAATGTTTAGAGATTCGGTTTTATTCTACGTTTTATTATTGTGTGGTGGATGGCCATCTTGGATAGTCGTGTGGGGGATTTAGTAGGGGGAAAGGCAATGTTTGGGGATATAGGATAGGATGAGAACGAAGTATATTGTATTAGGAATATGCTGGTAGGTCTGTAGGGGATTGTAGGGTTATGTGAATAGTTATACTGCTAACATCTGGTGTGAATTTGAAATAGGGAGTTATGTATTATAAAATAGGGTTTTTGACAGTGGCAGGAATTAATTTAAGGTGTCGGGTGGTTTTAATTATTGTAATGTGTTGTGGATGTTTGGGTTTGTTGGGTGGGGAGTAGTTTGTGTGATTGGGTGTTTTGGGGTGGTAATGGTTGTGTTTGTTTAAATGTGTGTAATTTTGTGTGGAATGTTATATAATTGGGTGTAATTTGTATTTTGTGTAATTTGTGTTTAATTTTTGTTTGATTATGTGAAAGTTCTGTGTAATTGTGTGGTAAATTTGTTGGTGAAGAAATTAAAATGATGGTGGGGGGTGAGTGGGGGGAATTGTGAGAGGGGGGTGTGGGGGGTATTTTTTAGGGTGAGGATGGGGAGTAATTGGTTTTGGGGGGGTTTGTGTGTGTGTGTGTGGGGATTTGTGATGTGTGTGTTGGTGTAAAATTTGTTGTTTGGTGTGATGGTTGGTGGTTGTTTTGGTGGTATGGGGGTGATGTGTAGGGATGGTAATGAGGGGGTAGGGTATTAGATTGGTTTATTGAGATTTAAGGATTGAAGGGTGGGGATTGAATTGAAGCGGGGGTTGATTTGGTTTGAGGGTGATTATTTAATTTTGGGTTTTTGGGGGAAGGATGTTGGGGGGGGGAAGGGTGAGAAGGTAAATTTTTTTGGGAGGGGGGGATGTTTTGTAGGGGGGTAGGTTGAAAAGGGAATAATAAGGGAGGTGAGAGGAGGTAAGGGGGGGTGTGAGGGGGAGGAAAGTGAAGGGATTTAGGGATAATTTTTTTGTGTAAATGGTTTGGAAGGGGATTAATGGGATTAATTCTATCGAGGTAGGGTAGTGATAGGATGGGTGTTATAAGGTGGGGTTAATAGTAAGTGTTTAATTGTAATTTGTGTGGTATTTTGTTGGTGGGGGGTTAGGGGGGGGTGTATATTAATGGGTTTATAGTTGGTTGGTGTGTGTGTGGTGTGTGTTGGGGTTGTGTTGTTTGTTTGGTTGTTGGTTGTGTGGTGTGGTGTGGTGGGGGTTGGGTTGGTAGGGTGGTTGTGGGGGGGCTTGGGGGTTTGGTGGTTGTTTATTTTGGGGGGGGTGGTTTGTGTGTGGGTTGGTTGTGGTGGTAGGTATTTGGGTTTTGGTTTGGGTTGTGTTGTGTGTTTGTGTGGGTTGGTTGGTGTGGTTGGTTGTGTGGTTGGTTGTAGTTGTTGGTTTTGGTTTGGTGTTTGTGTGGGTGTTGTTGTTGTGGGGTGGGTGTTGTGAGTGGGTTAGTGTGTGGTTGTGTGGGTGGGTTGTTGGTGTGTTTTGAGGTTGGTGGGGGGGTTGAAATGGGAGGGGAATGAAAGATGGAATGGAAGATGGAAATGAAATGGAAATGAAGATGGAAATGAAATTGAAAAAAAGAATGGGAATATGAAAGATGAAATGGAGTTGGGTATGGGGTATGGGGTATGTAGGTAGGAGAGAGGGGAAGAGGGGATGGGAATTATGTTTGTAATATATGTGGAAGTGGAATAAGAAAGAGTTTTAAATAAAAGGGGGAGAAGGGGGGTGATAGAGGGTAAAAGGAGTTGGGAATAAATCTGATTGAGTTAGTGGGGGGGGAAAATGAGGGGATTGGGTTTAGTAAGTGGATTGGGTTTGGTGGAAGTTTTGGGGGGGATATAGATTTGTTTAATTTTTATGTGGTTTGGTTTTTTAGTGATTGGGGGGGGGGGGTGGGGGTGGAGTTTTAAGATGGGATATGTTTTCTTTAAAACTACTCTGCAGGGCGCAAGTATATCATTCTGCTGTTTGGTTCATTGCATAGGGCATGCCCCGGTCCACATGGGCTCATCCTGTTGGTACCGTGTATTTGGGGAAATTTAAACAGAGAGTTTCTCATGATTTTTTATTGTTTTAACTAGTGTAGCTATGTTTTTTTTATTTGTTGGAGGGGTCGTTTGTGGGTTTGTAGGTGGTTGTACATTCAGCGTATGGGAACTTCTTAAAGGTATCAATTATTGATTAGTAGAAGTATAAGCTTAGTTTTGGAAGTCCTATTAGTGCACGGTGCTCATATGGCGTGAGACGTTCATTATAGGGTCACTTTCTTTGGATTGGGGCTCCAGGTTGTTTTATGTCGGTCGGGTGCTAGTAACGGTGTTTGAATAATTATAGTGTCTAGAGGGTATCATGGGCGAGACTTGGGAAAAGCATATCATCTGTGGAGAGTTATCGTTAAGTTGTTTATATGGTGGGATACGGTGGGAAGCTGGATGAGCAGGAAGAGGTGGACGAGTGTTGTGATTTTACTAAGACATTATTTATCTCATGGGGATGTAGTAATGGAGATTATAGTGGGTTGTTTGAGGGAACTGCGGAGGGGTAGTATTGGAGGTGGGTTTTTGGGACAGGTTGGTGTTAGAGGGGAGAGAAGGAAAGGGTAAATATATGGGTAGAGTGTTTTTTTCAATGGTTTACAAATAGGTAGGGGTCTGATGAATAAGTGGGGGTGATTATGGGGTTAGTGTTTATTCAACGGGTCTATAAAGTAAGGTGGGGATATGGTAGGGGATAATTTGCTATATTGGATATTAATGTGTGGAGGGGGGGTTGTTGGCTAGGGGGTTAGGTAGGGATTTTATGGGGATAGGGTTTATTTGATTATGGGGGGGTTGTTGGAGGCATTTTACTTAAATGTATTAGGGGGTTACTGGGGTGTTATAATGTTACTGGTGGATTATGAGAGAAATATAGGGAGAATGGGTAGGATCCTAGAGATTGGGGGGGGGGGTGGTGAGGTGATATGTGGGGTGTTGGATGATTAGGGGTGATGATTATGGTGATGATGTGGGGAAGAGGATGGAGTTGGAAGATGGGGAGGGAGGGAGGGGGAGGGGTTAAATTTTTTGAGGATAGTGAGGGGTGGGGGGAGGGGAGAGTAAAAGGGGGTGTGGATGTAATGTGTAATTATGGGGTAATGTGGAAGGGGTTTATAAGGGGGGTTTGATAAGTTTTTGGGGGGGGAGAGGGGAGGAGGGGGAAGGTAATGGTGGAGGGGGGGGGGGGGATGTAATGATGTTGTAGGAGTGATGTGGAATTTAGGTTGAATGGAGGGGGTTTGGGTATTTGGGGGATGGATTTTGTATAAAGATGGTTTTAGGTAGTTGGGGGGGGAGGTGATGGGATGAAGGGGGGGGGGGGTTAGGGGGGGGTGAGAGGTGAGGGGGGGTTTTGATATGGGGGGGGGGGGGGGGGGGGGGTTGAAGAAGGTATTTTTGATATTAGGATTGGTGGGGAGTTGTATTTTTTTTTGTGTTTTTGTTTTTGGGGGGTTGGGGTTGGGGATGGTTGAATGGGGAAGTATAATTTGTGAGGGTATGGGGTAGGGGGAATGTGTTAAGTAGAGGAGATAGGGTTGATATTAGGGGGGGGGGAAGAAGAGGTAGAGGTGTGAGATGTAGGGGGGGATGTAGTGGGGGGGTAGAGGGTGGTGATATGGGAGTAGAAGTGTAGAAAGGGGGGGGGGTTAGGGGGGTAGGGGGGGGGAAGAATGGAGGGAGAGGGGGGGGGTTTATGTATGGGGAAGAGGGTAAGAGTTGAAGATGTTGGGGGAGAAGGAGGGGGTAGTGTGTATATGGGGTAGGATGGTATGAGGTGGAGGGTGGGGGAAGAGGTAGGAATAGGGGGTGGTGTGTGGAAGGTTGGGTTTGTTTATTGTGTGGGGTAGGAAATGGGTTTGAGAGTATTGATGGATATGGGAGTATGTGTGGGTGGTTTGTGGGGTAGGGGACAAATTAGTGATAGGAAAGATGTGGGTTTGGGGGGGGTGGGTGTTGGGTATGGGGGGGGGGAGGGTTATATTGGGGTGTTAGGTGGTTAGGGTTGGTGGTTGGGTGAGTGGGGGGTTTTTGGTGGGTTAGATAGTTGGTGTTGGGGTATTGTGGAGGGTGGTTAGAGGTTTGTATGTTGGGAGGGGTGGTGAGTGGTTGGGTGGGGTGAAAGGGGGTTAAGGGATAATATAGGTTTGGGTTGTTAATTTGTTAATGTTGTGTAATTTGTGTTAATTTGGAATGTTGTAATGTGGGTGGTATTGTTGTGAATTTGGGTTTTAGTGGTGTAAATGTTGGGGGGTAAGGGTGTTATTGTGTGTGTAAAGGGTGGGGGTAATTGTGTGGGTGTATAATTGGGGGTTGTGAATGTGGGGTGTGGTATGTGGTTGGTAGTGGTTTGGTGTGAAGTTGGTTTATGTGTGTGGTAATGTGGTTGTGGTAATGTTGGGGGTAATTGTGGGTTAATTTGGTAATTGTTGGGTAATTTGGGTTTGGATAATGTTTGTGGTGGTAATGTTGTTTAATTTTGTTATTTTGTTTAATTGGTTTAAATGTGTTGTGTAATGGGTTTGGTGTAATTGTGGGGGGTGTGTATTTTTTAATGTGGTGTAAATTGTGTGTAATTTGTGTTAATGTGGTGTTTAATTGGTTGTTAAGTGTGTTGGTGAATGTGTTTGATTTATTAATTGTTGTGTAATTTGGTTTAAATTGTTTGGTGTAATTTTTAATGTGTGTTAATGTGGTGTGTGGGGTAATTGGTGGGTTTAATGGGGGGGGGGGGGGGGGGGGGGGGGGGGGGGTGGGTGTGGGTGTGAATGTTGTTAATTGGGGTGGTTGAATGTGTGAGGGTAATGTGTTGGGTAATTTTTTGAATTTGTTTGTTAAGTTGTGGTGAATTGTGTTGGTTAATGTGGTGTGTAATTGTGGTTTAATTGTTGGATTGTGTGGTTAATGGTGGTGTATTGTTGGTGGTGGGGGTAATTGGGGGTTTGGTAATTGTTTTAATTTTTATTTTGTGGTAAGTGTGGTTGGTAATGGTGTGTGCATTTGTTTTGTGTGTGTGATATGTGTTGATATTTTGTATGTGTTGATATTGTGTGGAATTGTGGGGGTTATGGTTGAGGTTGGTAAGGGGGATTTTATAGTTGTGGTGAATGGGGGGGGGGGGGGGGAGTGGGTGGAGGGGAGAGTGGGGGTGGAAGGGAGGGGGGGGGGGTATTAGGGAGGTAGTTGTTTTTGGTGTGTTGAGTGGAGTGTTGTAAGGGGTGTGGATTGTGTTGGTAATTGGTGGGGTAATGTGTTTAATTAGTTAGATTGTGTAATGTGTAATTTTTTGTAATTTGTTATAATTGGTTTATTTTTGTTTAATTGTAATGTGTTAATTTGGTTTTTAATTTGTGTGTATTGTGGTTTTGCACATGGACACAAATGAGCCCTGAAAGCTACTTACCCTGTATTACACATGTTGCATTTCCGAGCGGGGCATTTTCCCCTTGTTGCTCTTTTCCCTCATCTTGAGTGAGTTGCTGAACAATCTGAGAAAAAGATAGATGTTTTCAAAGAGAATACACCAAATAATGGTTTATTCTAAAAACAACATAATAATACAGAAGAACAATCAATGTGTGAGAGTGTGATTCTTACCTTTGAACACCTTCAACACAGTCTGACACCTGTAAGACTGAAACACACATGACACATTAGGAATACACACAGAACATTAATTATTGCAACAATCATGAAATTATACTCTATGGATTTCACAATAATTGACTGCATTAGCAAAGGTAAATGTATTTTAATTAACATATGGCTGGTTTTAAAGTTTATAAGAAAAAGTAAGAAATTGAATAGAGTTGCAAGCGCTAGTGATCTTGCTACCAGCAGATGAATGGATATTTAATATTTGCAGCGAACAATAACAAAAATAACAACTGTAGTGGCTCATTTAAACAGCCACAGTGAGAAGAAGTGAAAGTCTCTGACATTGAAGACCTGGGAAGACATTAAATCAATTTATTAAACAAAGCAATACATGAACATTAAACTCTCTTTCTGCAGCAGGTAACATCTGTGTGCTCCTATGGTCCCACATGGTCCCACACCTGAACTCAACTCCAACTGATGACATCACAGGTGTCTAAATGATGGGAGTGTCCCAAATAGTAAAGCTGATCTCCCTGTTTTTAAACTTAGTTTACTAAGTACTGTTGTCTTTTTGCAGTTTATAAACCTTTGTGAAATATACAGTAACTTTACATTTTAGAATTGAATTATTATTTTAAAACTCAAGAATCTTAACCTTTTTTAACACATAGTTTGTTGGACAGTCTAACCTAAGAATTCTAATGTGTTAAAAATAGTTTGAAATATGAAACACAATATCATATTTTAAACTTTAACTTAAAAACTAAAAAAGGTGTCTCTCTTTCAGCTGAGCAGTGCCAGCCGTTATTATTATAGATTCATGCACTGGCAATTCAAAATACAGATAATATACAAAATATACTTAACAAAATCCACGTATACGTGAGAAAACAACTGAGTTTCTGTCTCCAACTCTTTTCAATGTGGAAATGATACATCTATATCTAAAAACTGTGCAGACTGTGTACTTAGTAGAGAGGGTGATTCCAAGTAAATAAAGCAGGGCAGCGACAGAGGTACAGATTCAACGTCATATCAACGTCTGGGAAGGCATTGCTTTACGTCCAGATGCACACCTTACGTCGTTTAGACGTGGAAAACAGGTCCTCGACCGAGCGACTCACGTGTCAGGCTGCAACCTCGCATAAGTATGCGTCGGTTGTTTATGGTGTTATGTATTATTTTTTCACAGCTTCCAGAAAAATGCCTGGCCGTGGTGTAGCGGTTGCGTAACGAGACTTCAGTCGCAACGACACAGGTTCAAATCCCCGTTGGAAAACTTTTGACTTTTCAATTTTTAGCGAACAATATTTCTGTTTGGTTAAAAACGAATAAACACTCAACATAAGATTATGTAGTGGCTAATAATAAAACTTGTGAACCCATGCATTTGCATAAAATCTCAAGTGCTCACCCCTTATTTGCAAACTTGAGATTGTTAGCACAACAAATGCATACATTCACAAGTTTTATTATTAGCCACTACGTAATCCTATGTTGAGTGTTTATTAGTCTTTAACCAAACAGAAAAAAATTGTTCGTTAAAAATCAAAACAAATATGTAAAGATAATAATACACACACGTGGGCTCGAACTCACGTAACCAAGGCTGCACACATTTGCTTAACCACTACACTACCCTCAGGTACACTTTCACTGCTTCACAGCCTATATATTGTATTGCTAGATCAAGACGTACTGCGTCGGACGGCCGATGACCTGTTTTTGACGTCTAGGGGAGGTCGGGATTGAACGTCATATCCACGTATATGGGAGGTCATTGTTTTACGTCCAGATGCGCACCTTGCACAGACGTCGTTTGGACGTAAATAAAAGGTCACGACCGACCGACGCGATTTTGACGTGATCTGGAGGTTGAGTGGACGTCGGATGTTTAGTGGGCTGTTAAGGCAAAGGACAAGATCAGAAGTAGTTTTCTTTGCAGAGTGTTGGTGCTTTGGAGGTTGTGTGTCTGTGTTCTGCTCAGTTGTGTTCCCTTCTTTCTTAAGACTAACATGTTCCTGTGT